AGTGCAGGCCTGAACAAAGCTCAGTCACCTGGGCAGGGGTCCACAGCGAAACACAGCCACCAGCAACTACTGCACTAGATGTGTGTGTGTGTGTGTGTGTGTGTGTGCGTGTGTAAGAGAGAGAGAGGGAGAGAAACATGTCAGTATGTGAGTGTGATCTCCAAGGTGGATCTATGTGTGAGTGAGGAATGGGGACTAGAGCAGTGCTTCTCAAACTTCACTAAACATCAGAATCGCCTGAAGAGCTTTTTCAAAAGTCTTGATGCTCAGATAGTCCTCCATCCCATACTAATTAAATTAGAATCTCGGGGAGGGGGGCAGGGGACCCAGGAATTAGGAATTAGCATTTTTAAAAGTTCTCAGGTTATTCCAATGTGTAGCCAAGTTTGAGAACAGTGAATTAGAAAGGTGTTGTTGTTGTTGTTTTTTGGTTGTTGATTTTTTTTTTTTTTTTTTTAAATATTAGCATGTTTACAAGAGAGAAAAGATGGAGTGATATCCCTTGAGGGGAGAAACCTTTTGCGGGACAGTTGCAGGTAGGTGAGCTGTGAGGTTTGGGCAAATAGTTTGTAGAGACAGGGACTTATATCATTTATTCTCCAGGAGTGTTAACATGGCAAAGCACTTCAGAAATGATCTAACTCAACTTCTTATAGTTGCAGAAAGCCAGAGAGAGGCAGCAAATTGCTCAAGATCTCACACCAATTAGTGGCAGACTCAGACTAGAGCTCCAGTCTCCTAATGCTAGGCCACAGCACAAGCTGCAAGGTGATGTGTGTGCAAGGAGTCAAGAGTGCTGGTGAGGGAGAAGAAACTGTGCAGGCCAGAGCAGCCCAATTTGTTTTGGGATTTCTGTTCTGTACATGTGTGTGTGTATGTGCATGCATGCACATGTGTGCATGTGTGTGCATGTGTAGTATATGCACGTGAAGAATTTCACATCAGGATATCTAACATTCTTCCATTTTATTTTGTTCAGACATCACACACCTTCTAAGCTGCCACCCCCATGGAAGAAGTGCTTCCCAGATTTTCAAACGTAAAACAATTGGCTTATTGATATTGACAATTTGGTGTGTGGGGAGAGTAATTTATCTTATTATCTGTTTTCAATCTCTGCCAATGAGCTTAGCAAAGGAGTAGGATCCAGAGAAACAGCATTTGCTATGAAATATCCTAGGATACTCAGCATTTTTGCATGTGTTGTAACAGGCCAACAGATATTCTGCTTAAAGCCCCAACTTCAAGCCAACATACATTGTAAAGAAACAAAAATTGGTTCATTTGGAGTCCAATTAGTTGCTGTTGGAACAGAGCTAAAGCACAAACAGTGTTTACCATCTCCCTTCATAACTTGGTCCAGAGAAAACAAATTGAGAAGTGATGTTTGCTCACTCTCTGTGGTCAGGACAGACAACTCACTCAGGCAGAGGTTCATGCTGAGACACAGCCAAACACAAATACAAAAGAGGTAGCGAAGGATGGGGATCCTCAGGCAGGAGCCTTCGCCCTGCTACTCTGCGGAGCTAGCACAAGCCTGCCCCGCAGGAGGAATGGACGAAGGAACAGTGGAAGGGGACAGGCACCTCCCCAAGCCCAACATCAGCCCCACCCCAACTCCTCAGACTAGAAAAAAATATAAGTTTGGCCATTTTAGATCAAAAATGTTACTTCTGGGAAGGAAAGACAAGGAAGACATCACAGATGTCTAAGCAGGCAGTGAGACACAAATTAGGCAAATGGCACAAGAGTGTTTAGATTTCTCTGCAATGAGAAGTAATACAACAAACGGAGCTTGTTTAACTATGTGTGTGACGTGTGTTCATGGTGGTGGCAGGGGGTGTTTGGGGTTGGAACAAAGGAGATTTGGGGTAAGCTTGAGGAATAGAAACCAAGGGAAGTTATAAAGACCCTGAACATAGGGAAGGTTTTCCTGTTGGGCTGGATAACCAGTGTGCCAGGACTCTACTCCCATGTAGGGAAGTTAGTTATCAACCCCAGAGGGACTTTCCCAGCCTCAGGGAGGTCGTTTCCCCAGCAAGGATCTTTGCTGAGCAGCCAAGTCTCCCTCATTTTCTTCTTGCTTCACACACAGTCTAACTTCCCTTGGGAAGGAAACCATGCCAGACACCCTAATGTGCACAGGGACACTCTGAAGTCATGGGAAATAATACTTAGGGGCCAGGTCAGCAAGCTCAAGATGGACAGACAGGTTGAGAGAAGCCTCTTCCTGCACAGTCCAGAGAAAGACCCCTTCTTCCAACAGGGCTGCCTGACCAGGGCCAAGAGTCTGTCTGATCTGCTACATTTTAGGGAGGGCATGTGTGAAATGGGCATTTGGTGCCAGGCTTCTTCTCCTGGCCCTTCGTGGCTCAATTTTCCCTCACTGACCTGACAGAACAGAACCCTGTTGGGGAGGGCTCTGAGGAAAAGACAGTGCTATCATCAGGGGTAGGAGGGACCTGTTCCTAAGGGAACTGCCCTGACTGTCCTTCACAGAGTAGAGGAGCAATGGACACTCTCCCAGGCAGCCTGTGGGGTGGGGCTTGTCATCTTTAGCACAGAAGCTCTTAAGTACAGGCTGGTGGGGTTGAGAGTTCAAAGACTCCAGAGATACTGGCTCTTCACTCTTTGGGATCAGGGCGGAAGGGAAATAGCCTGGGGTATGGTCCTTCCACAGTCCCCAACTCATCCCTCCTAGGAGTGAGAGAAGGCCCAATGGATGGAAACTAACATGAGAAAGAGAGAGCAAGGGGAGCAAAGGCAGCCATGGAGCCAAACAGGGAATGCCTGGGCGGTTCTGATGGAAGGGATGGGAAATCTGATGAAAACAAAGCCAGACAAACCAGAAACACCAGCTCCAAGCGGCCAAACCACCCCTCCCAGTTAAGATGCCCTGGGGAAACTGGCCCCCTTTGGAAAGTTCCCCAGAAGCTGAAGGTAGCAGGTAAGTGCCTACAGGGAAAATTCTTAGAGAGTTCCAAGTTTCTGGAGAGGTATGCATTGGCCATCATAGGCAACCCTCATCTTGTTGAAGGCCCCTGGGTTATTCTGGGGATTGTTGTTGTTGTTACGTGCTGTGGAGTTGGACGTGCTGTGGAGTTGGACTGACTCAGAGTGACCCCTCCTTGGGTTTCCGAGGCAGTATCATTACGGAAGTAGATTGCCCCATCTTCCTTCCGAGGAGTGGCTGGTGGTTTGAACCGACAGCCTTCTGGTTGGCAGTCAAGTGCCTTAGGCACTATCCTACCAGAGCTCCTGACTCTGGGGATACAGGAGCAAAAAGAGGACTAAGGAGATTCCATCAGATAGATGTGACCCACAGACAGCAAGGCCAGAAACAGAGCACCCCATATGGACAGATGCTTAGTCAATATCCCAATGGGTAGGAATAGGGAGGGTTGCTTGGGGCATCTAAAGCCAGTTGGAGACTTTTCTGGAGCTGTGAGATAGGAGTTCAGGCTAGGGATAGAGTAGGAGTGGAAAGGGGACAGGTAAGGCTTGTTCAGGGAAGAGAGTAGGTTAGTTTGACCTGTGTTCTGGGTTATAGCCAGAAATGGGGCACTTGTTACATGAAATCAATTTCCAAAAAAAAGGCTTGTAAGCTGCTACCAAAGGCACAACATAAAAGGGAAGGCGGCAAATGCTCGGGAGCTGTATGACCTCAGGTGGAAATCTGGTTTGAGAACAGCCAGGAGCCCAGCAGGACAAAGGGTGCACACTCAGCAGCCTTTAGGAGTCTCTTTCCTCTACCACTCTGCTACCGCCAACTCTCATAAGAGACTTGCTCAATAAAAAAATCTTAGTTGACCTGTACTACTGTGCACACATGGAGTGGCCATGAGTTGGAATACACTTGACAGCAACTAAAAACAACACTTAGCAGTCTTCAGAGTCCTTATTAGCATGTACTAAATTCAGCAGAATGAAATAAAAATAATAACAAAAAACTAAAATAAAGGAAAAACCAAAGGTTTGCTAATTTCCGTGTTATTGGCACTGAGAACTCTTGGCATTATAGTGTCTGGTCAAAAAATTTCCCGCAAATGCCCGCAGGTCTGCACCTTTCTCTTCTAGTTTTGAGCTTCCTATCCCTTCCTCCCAGCCACTCTCAGTCTGGGGACCTTGGTATCCACAGAAGCTGCAATTCCAGGGGACTGAGGCCTGGCACCCCAATTGGAACCCTGGGCCCAATGGGATTCCCACCCTTACTACCCACATTCCCTACTCTCTGCCTAAGATGCTTGTTCCTGCATATGTTGGGTAGGATAAGGGAAATCCGTGGGGAAGAGGGTTTCTGTATTAGCGAGGCGGGAAGGAAGGGATCCATCCACATGCCTTTTCCCACTGTCAGGGAGTACACTTGCCCTGCTTGACCTTCGAACAACTCTCCTGCCTCTTCCAAAATAAGGCTCCCACTGATGTGCCTTGGAACTACAAAGGGTTGTACCAGCTCCCTACCCCTCCTCGTCCCAAAGCGCCTGTTCTAAGCCCGCACTCCAGCCTCAGTGAATCTTCCCAAGCCACACTGCCAAGCACGGTGCCCACCGGGTCTGGAATTCCGCCTGAGGCCCGAGAGAACGCGAAGTCCGGAGAAGGGGAGCAGAGAGAGTCTCACAACCTCCAACAGCGCTGGGGCCGGAAGCTGGATAGGACGCAGGACTGATCCCCCTTCCTTCCCCTGAGCAGCCCTCGGGGAAAGAAAGTCGTCCAGACCCTGAAGAATGACCCTGCGGGGCACCCTCAGTCTCTGGCGCGCTGAAGAGCCACCCACCCGGCGCCCAGTGGCGCCACGCTGAGCCCGTGGAGCGGGCAAGCCAGTCCTGGACGCGCTCCGCTAAGTCTGAACCCGCCAGGGTATCGTTGCCCGCACTTCCCTGCTTGGGCCGGTGTTCCCTCTGCCACCTGCAGCCCCCGGGCGCGCGCACGCGCCGCATGATTCCCGCGCGCGCAGGTACGCTGGAAGGGACGCCCGGACCACGCGGGCGCCTGGGCTTTACCTCGGTTGGAGTGGCTCAGGGTGGACGACTGAGAAGTCTTGGACTTCTGCCGCTTGACGGTCATCATCACTTGCTCCTGCACGCGCTGCCTGCCCGACGTGCCCGTCTTCATCTTTTGGTCCGACGGCAAAGCCAATGTGGAGTTGTCCTGGTCCTGGAAGCATTCGTACGCCAAGGCGGTCTTGAGCGGCGAGTGGTTCATGTTGGTGGGAAGTACGCGCGGGCCGGGCCTGGAGGAACAGAGAGGCGCGGGAGGTGCGGTGCAGCCGGCGCGGCGGGCAGGCGGAGCGTGCTCTTCTCGCTCTCAGCGGCTCCCTATGGCCATAGAATGAGTGGTCTGTGCGAGGGCTCCCGGCAGCTGCTCCTGGTGCCTCCACCCTAGCTCGTCCCTCTCCTGGCACTGGCGAGGCCCGCCCTCCGTCAGACTGGATATACCACCCCTGCCCTGCACCACCCACTTCACTCGGATGCGCGCCGCCGCAGCTCAGACGCGAAGCTGCAGGGCACTGCTGCTGCGGGAACCAGCGCTCTTAGGGGCAGGGCTACGCGTCCTGCGTGTGGGACAGTCAGTCTCCCTCCGCTCTTCCTTTATCTCCCTTCGGTCTTCCCAGGATTGGGCAGGAAACTTCGCAGACGATGAAGTCCCGGGGAGACGCCCCTCTGTCCCGTTCCTGCCCGCTCACGGAGAAAGTGTACGCTCAGCTCAGGAAGGGAAGGCGATCGCTCCTTAGGGAAAAGGAATCTGTCTTGATGAGCCCACCACCTCTCATACTGAAGTCTTGGCTGAAACCAGCTCTATTGGCGGAGGCTCCCAAACTGATGGTAGCAGCACAGCCCTTGCCCAAAGGAGAGTGTCCAATCTTTTGGAGAGAACTCATTCTTCTCTAAGGCAACCTCCAATCTGAAGGGAATGAGATGGGAAGCCCACACCAAGAACTACAGACTTGGGATACAAAACTACAAAGTGGTACATATCACATGTAGGTTTGACCGGAAATAACACCATGCTAGCAGTTGAGTCTTAGGTCCCTTAAAAAAAAAAAAAAATGTTTTTGAATGAATGGAAAGAAAAATTTATAGCTAATTTAAGGCATATTAAGTTTGCCTTGAATTCTACCTGTATCCTTACTGAAGAACTAGAAGAGTGCCTTGTCCATAAAACTACCCCACTGTGGATATCTTACTCTGGGACTGTTGTTGTTGTTAGTTGCCATTGATTTCATTCTTACTCATGGCAGCCCCATGTATGCAGAGTAGAACTGCTCCACACGTTTACAAGATTGTGATGTTTTGGGAACAGATTGCCAGCTCTGTCTTCGGAGATACCCCTGGGTGGGTTTGAACCACCAACCTTTTGGCTAGTAATTGAGCACTGAACTGTTTTTGCCAGTACCAAGTGCATTCTCTTATGCACACAATATCTTTGTGGATACGTATGCAATTATACTTCATTCTTGTAGGTAGCATCCTTCTCAAGCCTTGAGGTAGCCCACATCAATAAATTTGGTATGTAACAGGAGATGAGTATTTTTAAAGCTATTTTAATGGAAATTTTTCTAAAAGGTATCATAACTTGTTTTGCCTCCTTAAGCAAAAGATACTAAACATACTTTACAAACTTCTTGATGACTCAGGTTCTCACTCTGGACATCCATTATCAACTGTGGACTGGTGCAGTCTGGTCAGATTCTTGTTTTCATCTCCTCCAGCTGTGTTATGCTGTCAGCTACCCAGTGGTGTAAGTGGTTAAGCACTCGGCTGCTACCTAGAAGGCTGGCAGTTCAAACCCACCTAGCCACTCTGTGGGAGAAAAGACCTGATGATCTACTTCCATGAAGATTATAGCCAAGAAACCCCTATGGGGCAGTTCTCTCTGTCATAGGGTGTTGCCATGATACCCAACAACATCACTTCTACTATCATGTGTAGTTGCCAGTTACAGTCCACATGCCTCATTTTAGTTTGCCTTTCTAGTCAGAAATCTACCCTCGTTAGGAATTATATGTTAAAGAAGGATCAAGAAGACTGTGAGGCCTGAGTGTGATCTGAGACCACAGGATGGATATGAGAAGTGGGAGATAACTCCAGGGAGCCCCAAGCTCTTTCCTCACAGTACATTCCTGGTACCCAAATGCAGAGCAGATTGTTGTAAAGCAGATCAGAGTTTCCAACAGAAACAGTTTTATAATTAAGGGTCATGTTCCTAAGAACACAGCATCAAATGTGACCACTGATAGGTCATAAATTCAAAGGCTCAGCACCTTGAAGCTGCTCTCATCTTTTAAAATGTTAAGATTCTGCTTCCAGCCATGGACTGTCAGGGCTGGACAGAACCTTGGACATTATCCAGCCCAGCCTCTGCATTTTACTGCTGAGGAGAGGAGGTGGCTGGCTCATCATCACCCAGTAAATAAGTGGTAAAGCCTCCATTTTAACCAGACCTGGGGACTCCGAGTCCAGTGCTCTTTTTACCACATTGTCTGGCCTCCCTTATAAATATCCTATAAAATGGGCATTAAAATACAGTACACACCAATTATGTAAAGTACTATATGTACTATAAAGTAAAGTACTAATACACTATAAAGTATGCACAACAGCACATAAAAATATAACTCAATTATATCGTATTTGGCCTATCTAAAAGTTAGCTACAATAAATGTCAATTAGGTCTTTAAATAATGATGATTTTGTTACCTTCTAGGATGTACAAGGGCCCTAAAGGTGGTAACTGGAAGAGACCATATTGCTTTACAAGGCAAATCCAAGGAAGCAGGAACTGATTATCTTTAAATTGTTTCCAGGTGTGAAGTTCAGATTTTGACATTGATATTATTTTAATATGCTGTTAGCAATCACCAACATTCCTGTGCTCTTACAATGTGACAGCCATTAGTCTGGACCCTTTACATGGTCATCTCATTTGTTCTGTTTACCTAGTACTGCTCTGACAAGAAATATACCACGAATTGGATGACCTTAACAAACAGGAATTTATTTTTACAATTCGGAGGCTTTAAGTCCAAGTGCAAAGTGCCAGGCTCTAGGGGCTGGGTGAAAGCCTCTCAACCCTGGAGTCCAGCTCTGCCTCCTGCTCCTGGCCCACTGGAGCTAGAGGCGTTTCTTGACTCAGACAGCTGCTGGCTGCTGAGGTTGAGCCCCAAGGTTGACAAGTAAAAAGGCACAGTCCCGATGTTACCAAACCACATGGCAGGCCATTAACTTAAGTCCATTCCAAGTCCCCAGGTTGGCAATAGCAGGCTGCTGAGCAATGACACGGCTATATGCAGGGTCCAAGTGTGCCATAGGCTAGAGACCATTCCAAAAGCTTTTCCTTATATACAGGAAGCAGACCACATCCCAAAGGCAGCTACTCAGCTGCTTGTGGTAGATCCCACCATGGAGTTGATTGCCAGTCTCATCATGGGAAATAACTACTACCAGCTGCCCAGCCACTCAACCAGGCCCAGCCAAGTTGAAACACAAACATACCTACCACATCATTCAAACTCTCAGAATGACCCTATCAGGTGAGTACTCTCTCTCCATCATCCCTCTTTTTCAGATGAGGAAATTGAGGCACAGTGAGGTCACCCAGCTGGTAAGTGGCAGACCAAGGGCCAACCACAAGCAGCCTGGCTGCAGAGCCTAGGATCTTAGTGGAAGTTCCAGGCTTTCTCCCCAGAGATGTCCCTGTAGCCAAGCAGTGGGCTCCAGACCCTTCCATGGATCAATCTTTTAGTAGCATCCATTTCTCACATGGCATGTAAGTCAAGCCAGCAGGGCTTCACTTCCAGTTGGGCTGCTAACTAACTTCATGATCCTAGACAAATTCCTCCCTAAGCCTCCCTGCATCAAATCTATAAACTGAGGGTATAGACTCAATGATTCTCAAAGTCCACTCTAGCCTTGTTGCTGTTGTTGTTATTGCTATCAAGTCAATTTCAATTTATGGTGATGCCACGTACGACATAAGGAAGCACTGCCTGACCCTGTCATCTTCATGATTGTTCATCCACGGTTACAGTTATGTAGTACCTGCCAACACACAGGGATCATCTTCAGCCCTGTAAAAACCAAAAAACCAAACTCACTGCCATTGAGTCAATTCTGACTCATAGTGACCCCCCGAAGTGGTAAATCTTTATGGAAGTAGATTGCCCAGTCTTCCTTCCTCAGAGTGGCTGGTGGGTTTGAACCACTGGCCTTCTGGTTAGCAGTCAAATGCCTTAGGCACTACGTCACCAAAGTTCCTTCTTCAGCACTATATTGGACAATATTCATGTGATCCCTAAGGCTAAGTTTCAGAGTAGATATCCAGGCCTTTTTTCCTATTCTGTCTTAGACTGGAAGCTCCTCTGAAGCTTGGCCACCATGGGTGACTCTGCTGGTATTTGAAATACCAATGGTAGCTGGTAGTATCACAGCAACATGCAAGCCACCATAGCAGGACAAACTGACAGATGGGTGGTGGCCTCTAGCCCTAATAGTCTATAATTCTGATATCAATTGTGAGGGTTTTAGAGCAGGAGAATCTTGAACCAGGTTCTCTGGACAGTATTTTCTTTGCTTCTTCTTTGTCTTCTCTACTCCCAACATCAAAGGAAAGGAAGTCTGGAAGTAGACAGAGGGAGTCCTGACCACCTGTTGAGCCATTGCTGTCTGTAGCATACATTATTTCATCTCATCCTCCAACAACCCCACAAGGATGCATTATTACCTCCATTTTGCAAATGAGGAAACACACTCAGAAAGGTTATGTCAGTGGTGAATCCTAGGTTTGAACCAAATCCTAACTTCTGACTTGGGAGAAGGAAAGAAAGGGGCAGTCATGACACACATTTTTGACCAAGGCGAGGGAGGTGTATTCATTCTGGAAGAATTGCTTTAGGAGCTCAAGTGTGTCGTTTTGAGCCTGGAGGCCAGAGTTATTTCCCTCACTTCTCTCCTCTGCCTGCCTGAACCCCACCCCATGTGGGGCCCTGACTCAGCAACAGGCCAGAGGAGAGAGTAACATTCATAAAGTGAAGGATAGATGTCAACTAGGCATGTCACATGAGTTGAGCTCTGAAATGGCATGCTTTCAGGAGACTGTCAGAACTTATGCTTAGATGATGAAAAGATTCTAATGGGTATGGGTTAATTTGAGTTTGCAGGTTGTAGAAAGCTTCCTGAGAGAAATTAATTTTGACTCAATTCTGAAACAAGATGAGTAAATGCTTGTCCTCAAAGTCAGTGGAATGAATGAATATAAATGAACTTCTAATTCTCTTTGCTGTCTTCCCTACAGTATTGTGTGACCCAGATTTCAACTCTCAGTCAATCATGACTCCTAGTCTTTATGAAAGTAAAACATTCCGTGACCTCAATGTTCACTACAGAATGGGACAGGGATTCACTTATTCAACAAGTATTTATGGAGCATCTACTCAGATCCCGCTTTAGGCACTGAGGG